GAGGGGCGGGGGTTTGTGTGGTTTTCGATCGCTCGATCAGTTCTTTAATTGTTTGACTGCCTATTAAATTTTTATTCTCTATATGGTTACGAGTTGTGTCAAATTCCACATGTGAAATTACCATTTCAAATTGCCTTGAATTTTCCAAATTCCTAGCGTTACGTCGACTATCATATATGAAATATATATATCTGTTATAAATCTTTACGATTAATACTAATACTAATAATACTAGCAATGCTATTGATAATTAAATGTTATTAACCGATACATACTACTCAGCACATGGTTCTGCAATATATCCAGAATCCATTGACTTCAACTCTGAAATAATTATTTCCTATATTAAAATTAATTGTTAATCGATTATTAATTAATTCATATATAATAATATATGTGCAACCATGAATTAAATCTTCACCTTGAATAAATCCATTTCTTCCTTAGGAAATAAACGATCAAAGTCATATGCATGTTTCATTAGAAATTTATGGGACGGTGATAGCTTTTCATTGATAATTATATCTTCAAATGATTTATATCCTTTGTCTTGATATTTCTGACTACATATGGGTTGTAGAGGTTAGGAGTAGTTTTTTAGGTGAGATATTAGAATAATTACACAATATTATTATCACCAATAACAACACACCACCACGGTAATATTAGTAATTAAATTTATACCCTATTTCTCCCATTCTTCTTAAAGCATTTATAAATCTTGATGTATTTTCTTTACTGTCAACTGCTCCCACACCATGACTAAATTCTGTTCTTTTACCCTTATTATATATATGAGTGTTAATATGTTAGTATTAGTATTGGAATTTAGAAAGATTTTAATTATTGTTATATAGAATGATGATTAAAATCAAACCATTTCCTTGTACATATAATCACCAAGAATAACCGTTTCAGGGTGTTTAATAATCTCATTTATAACAAAATCAAAATGCACTTTCTCATGAAAAGGCTTTCCTTTTGAAAGTTCTACATTAATTGTTATTATTATTATTATAGATAACAAGCACGAATCTTTCATATTAATAATTATTGGATTATTGGATTCCTTATGAATAAGCAACATGCGTAACTGATCGACCAATTGTTTAAGTAATTGGTTACACAACTCGACAAATGCGCTGAATGAGCTAAACACGTTGTTAAATCAAAATATTTGAATGGTGCATACACCCTAAAATTTCACGCCACCGGATTTTTAGGTCCACGCCATTTTCCCATACCCATTATACCCCTTTTTTCCTCACCAGTTACTTTGAACACTACTAGTGATCATTGGTTCAAGTTTGTTTGTTTACCACTATCATCTTTCACGATTGATTGTATTTTTACAATGTTCAATTTAATAAGTCAAAATTTTAACCTTATTATCATCGTACGTTATTTTTTTGCTACAATGATATCATTCGATTACAAATGACATGTGTGTGATCTTCAATAGAGGCATGGGAAAAAAAAAATAGATTTTCAAAAAAAAAAGATCTATATATGAAATCTGCATAACATATTACCATACTTGACAAGATTTATATAATATCTCGTGGCTGATTATTAGATCTTTTGTTATTGACATTTTTAGAAATGTGATTCGATATTTGATAAATATATGTATAATACACACAAAGTGAATATATAAATAAATATTCATAAGCATCATCATACCTGCTTCAATGCTAGATACTTAAATGCGATGGCAAGCTTTGGATCGATTAAAAAACAACTGTAGGTTGTGTATATCATGTTGTAGATGTTGCAAAAAGATCCAGCGTAGCAGGATTGAATAAAACCCAATGTTATGATGCTGGAAAAGGTTTTCAATATTTTGATATTAAATCTGGTTTGGTTTAAAGGTATATTTTAAAAAGTTAAAAGGTATTCTACAGCCTCTAATCCTGGTGCGGTGAAAACTCAAGAAGTTGCTAAATGGGTCTTTTTATGAATTCGATCTACTGAAAACTAAAAAAAGGAACAAAAGAAAATAATTGAAATAAAAAATCACGCCAATTCTTTTTTATTAAATCTATCTTTAACTTTAAAAGATAATATACACACGCTCGTCTATATTATTTATAATACTGATTGATAATATCGAACCTAAGTTAGGCAGTAAATTATTTCTCCTCCCACTTTATAGGTTTTGTGTTAATGTATTTTATTGGTCATGCTAGACTTCATAGGCGATGTTCTCAATCCTTGGATAATCTTCAAATATATCTGTATACTTCTGATGCCAGATATAAATCAATTTCTGTCTATATCGCATTATATTGGTAGTACAAATATTGGTAGTACAATAATAATTTACTAAATTCCATTGTTTAACGCGTCACTAACTTTTTTTCTAAAAAAATTAGTAAATAAAAAATTTAAATATGAAAAATATTTATTTACCAAAATTATTTTTTCAAAATGCACTCAACTACAACAACAACAATTTTATTGCTATGAGAAGAAAGTCACTAATAATCGTTTTATCGTCCATATGTTGTAAACAAAAGTTTCAAATTTACACACCTAATAAATTCATCACCACTACCACCACCGTGACTACTTCCAAGACAACTGAATCTACTACTGATAATAGTGATTATAACAATGTTTATGATAATGATAAAGATTATAATAGTAATAATGTTGAATTGCATGATGAAACAATAAAAGTTGAAGTTGAAGCAAGGAAATTTGATATAGATTTGCTGGTTTCGAATCCTCCGTACAAATCAAGAAATCGAAATAATAATAATTACTCTTTTAATAAAAATAGTAATAATAGATTTGAAGATTTGGAAAGAGTTGATCGAAACAACAATTACAATAGTGATAATAATTATATTGATAGGGATTACAACGATAAATATAATGACAAGAATTGCAATAATCATGATAATAATCATGATAATGGCGATGATAATAATAATAATAATGATAATTATAATTATAATAAGGAAGACATAATTACCAAAAAATCTTCAGCTAGAAATAATTCAACAGCAAGTCCAAATGAAGATCTTGCAAATATTATAAAAG